CTTTTCTCACGGCGGTGAAGCTTTAGGTGAGAACATTGTTCTGATACCAATTAAAAGGACCTAGGATGCCGCCTAGAGGGGGGGTGAATAGGCGTTTCTAAAAATTAACACCTTTAAATGCGGAAACGAATAGTAGAGGGAGTTTCCATGGAAACTCTAAATAAAGAGTAGTACCACCCCTCACAAGTTAGCCACCTAGTATACAAGGTACAAAAGAATGTATCTAGAAGCTACAACCCCGCAACACAAAGTTAGAACTGCGAATAAATATTTTCAGCACAAAGCTCTAGTACCGGACGTGTCCGGTATGCACGGTTTCTGTAGAACAGCCCTGAACTTGCTCCTTTCGATTTCTATCTTCAAACCAAACTACAGGTACCTACTAGAGATATCAATATACACAGAGAATCTACACAAGAGCTGGAGCAACACAAATATCAAATGAAATGCGAATTGAGACACGATATTTGTTTTACCGAAGTTCTGACTCTTTCAAGTCCTACTCTCCGTTGAGGGGGCTGCGGGCGACCCAGCGAAGGTCAGCCCTAGAGGGTACCACGAAGGTCACTCTAGCCGGAGTCTTTCCCAACTCCTTTTCCTCATTCCACTAATTTATTCTGAGGCGGCGGAATCGACCGTTACAAACTTTCCGAGGCACACCACAATCTCTCGGGTGCTCTCCGGCGACGCCTAACCGTCTAGAACCGAAGAGTCTAAGAGTAACAAATACAAATCACGAGATAGACAATATGCACAAGTGCTCAAGTGGTTGGATTGCTCTCTTTTTGAATTTCACTCAACCCACAATTTGATTTGGCAAGTTTGATCAATCACTCACTAAGAGATGGTTGGGAGAGTTGGCAAGTCTCAAAAACATGTGTGTGAATCAGCAGAATCAGCAGCCTCCAAAGGTGGAGGCTTGGGGGTATTTATGGCCCCCTTGAAAAACTAGTCGTTGCAATACCGGACACGTACCGGACACGTGTCCGGTATGACTTACACTGCCCCAATCGGTAACTAAGTTACAATGACAATGTGAGGCGTCAGAACTCCCAATGAATGCCGGAACTCCCGACACGCGTCGGAACTCCCGACCCTCAGCAAATTTGAAAACCATGTAACTGAGTTAAAGTATATGAGGTGTCAGAACTCCCGACACGCGTCGGAACTCCCGACCCTCAAGGCTTTTGAAAACTAGCCGTTGGCCTCTGGTCGTGCATACCGGACACGTCCGGTATGACCAGGACAGTGAACCCTCCAAGTTAGTTAAATTGTGAGACGTCGGAACTCCCGACCCTTGCCGAAACTCCCGACTTACGTCGGAACTCCCGACGAACCAACCCGAGAACAGCAATTTTACCACTGCTGGATAAATACCGGACACGTCTGCCAGACTAGCAAAAATAAAGTTAGCTCTTTTGTCGCTCAAATACTCAAAACTCACATGGGTTGGCTTGAGCACTTATGAAACATTATCTATCAACATGATGCATCCCTCTTTATAGTATGGCATTCCTATTAACTCAAATTCAAATATATAACGAATTTAAACCTTTTGAGTTGTTCTCTTTCAACCGAAGCTGTGTATTCCAATCTTCATAAAGTGAGGGTGCTAACATGTCAACTTTGATCTTTTTCACTTGAGCATAGCCATCTTGAGCGCGTGACTTGATTCCATTCATCAAATTTGAATAATCCCAAATATATCAAGTCACTTCCATCAAACACTCCAATAGTGATTTGATCCTCCATATAAACATGGCCATCATAGCTTGATTAGTAGCTCAACTAAATGCAAGTACTTCCTTCTTCACGCTAGCTAGGTTCTTTGGCCGCCAAGCCGTCGCTTGCCCTTCACCCTTGCTTAGTACCTCGAAGCCTTTCCTTGCTATCTTCACCATCTCAAGCCATCAAGTCACATCTTATGTTGAATCATCCATTCTTGTATTGTTATCTTTTTCATTTCAATTTAACAAGCTTCAAATATGAGACCATTCCATATGCAATTCCTTATGTCTCATTAATTAATTCTTACAAGCTTGCTTTCATATAGTACATGAAAATCCCACAATAAACAAGCACTTTACATAAATTCCATTTGCATTGTTGTCTTGTGCTTGAACTAGATTGTTTATACAACAACACATCATTTTGGCTTTTATTAAGTACCTGTGAGATAACCTATTACCTGTCTATACTTAGCAAACAGGTTAGACCTTTAATCACGTTGTCATACAATCATCCAAAACCCACTAAAGGGCTAGATGCACTTTCACAAACCCTTTGGCTCTTGTACTTAAGATCGGAAAGGTGGGTCCCATGGGTGTCGTGCATGTATAGATGGCCAACGGGCCGGGCCGGCATGGCACGGCACGGGCCCGATAGCCAACGGGCCGGCACGACACGCCGTGCCTCCCGGGCCGTGCCTCACAGGGCCACAGGCCTGGCCTCCGGCCCAGGCACGGCACTATGGGCCAATTTTCATGCTGGGCCGGCCCGAGAAGCATGACCAATTTCACAGGCCGTGCCAGCCTGAGGCCCACTGTCTGCCGACAGAGAGAGAGAGGGGAAGGGCGACGCCGCTCGAGAGGTGTAGGGGGTCAACGTCGCTCGCCGCCGAGGAGATCGACGTCGGATCCGAAGGAGGCCAGCGTGCTCGCCATCGAGGAGCTCGACGTGGATCCACAGGAACAGGAGGCGTGGAGCGGTGGAGGAGGCCGACAGACAGAGAGGGGAAGTGCGAAGGGGAGCCCGAGAGGTGTAGAGGGTTCATCGATGAGCTCGCCAAGCCAATCACGCGTGCACCGCCGCAGCTTGCCGGAATCTCACATCCGTCATCGCCGCTCGCCAGATCCATTGCACCAGTGTCGGATCCGCCGCTCCCGAGCCCATATCCACGCGCCACCGTCACTGTTCACTAGATCCACTGGAGAAGGGAGGGAGGACGCAGGGAGTGGATCCGCCACGGAGGAGGAGATCCGCGCCATCCCACGCTGGATCCGTGCTGCCCCTGCCCGAAGACGTCCGCGTCGAAGGAGAGCCGCCCTGCTCCGTGCTGCCACCTCCTCAGGCCGGATCTCGCCGGCCGCTTGCAGGGGAGCGCCGAATCCTGCCGCCTCCTCGCTAGGGCGCCGCTGCAGGGGCCGCGCGAGCTCCGCCGCGGGGGGGGCACGCGAGCTCCACCACAGAGCGCCGCTGTAGGGGCCACGCGAGAGGGGCTGCCGTCGGGGAGGGAGGGAGAGGGGCGCCGTTGTTGCGCCGGGAGAGAGAGGGGAAGGGAGTTAGGGTTCGCCGGTTCGGGGCTGCGCGGGGAAGGGGAGGGGGAGGGGAATCGGGGGTGGGAGTGAGAACTGGGAATTGGGAGCGTGGGGCTCGCGGAGTCGCGGGGGAGGACCAGAGGAGGCTGCGGGCCTGCGACCTGCGGCTGCGGCAGAGGAGCAGGCCGGGCGCTAGCGGGCCGCCTGTTCTGTAGCGGGCCGTGCCATGCCGGCCCACGAGTAAGGCTTAGGCACGGCCTGCTCCTCCGTGCCAGGCCAACCCGGGCCCGCTAGCCGCCGGGCCGGGTCGTGCTTGGGCCGGGCCAAAAAAACGGGCCTTGGGTTGGGCCGACGGGCTCGGGCTGCATGGCCAACTACGCGTGCGTGACGGAAATTATAGTAGCTGAAAGAAAAAACGTGTAAACAAAAACGGCTACCCGTCTATGCCGTGACGTGGTGGCTCTTCTACTTAAGACCGAAAAGGTAGATGTTGTACGTGATGGAAACTACCATAGCTGAAAAAAAAACGTGGAAGCAAAACCCGCTACCCGTCTATGCCGTGATGTGAGAGATTATAGCAAGCTCATTAACAACGGAGAAGAAATTTTCACGTACAAATATATATATTTCTACTCTTATCTTTTTCTATTTGATTAGGATCAGGATTCCTATTCAAATTACTCAAGATCGGAGAGATGTTTTTGAATTCGGATCCCTAGCTATCTAGATTTAGCTTGGATAGACAATTCACATTCATGGAATTTGGTAGAGGAAGATGGATAAAAAAATAGAAACAAATTTTAGCTTTTAAATATTATTATATTATTATTGTTATTAATTAATAATTATAATTATTATAGGTAATTGTAGATATATAATATAATTGTTAATAAATATTAAGGTATGGACATATATATTAGGTATAGATAGAGAATAGATATAGGGTTCAAGTAAAGAAATTGGGAGGTAACTGTCAGAGTGGAAAAACAAATTGCAGCCTATATGGACACGGATAACGTAGGAAGATAAGAACAGTTTAGGAATCTATTTTTATCTTTTTTTCTATTTCTATTTGAGTTAGGACCTATTTGGATCAGCATTCGTAGCTATTCTCATGTCAATCTTAGAATCGGACTCCATATCGGTCTAGATGCGAGCTATTATAACTCGTATGAGCACGGGATATATATATAAGTCTGGACAAAAGAAACTCTTCATATATAAGTCTCACAGGTATAGAGATATAGATATAGATATAGATGCATGTGTATAGAGATATATAAGTTTGGACGAAAAAATGACTAAAATTTTACTTCTTTATCATTAGGTAAAGATATATAGATATAGATATAGATGCATGTGTCAAACATTATATGGGACAAATATATAAAAGAAGCTAATAAAGCAACTTAAGTCCCTATACTAATCCGATTTCACCACCCAACAAATATATTTCATCAGATTGTTACTACAATGGTCCACCGAGATAGCGTTTGGAGCTAGGACTCCTATAAGTATTAGCAAAAATCTACGAATCGATTATACATATTTTGTCCTACTGTCAAAGTAGGGAGAGAACGGATACCTGCAATTACGAAGACCAAGGCTGGAAAACCAGAGCCGTTCTATTCTTTTCCCACCCTTCCTATCTCTCCTCAGTCCTCACCCACCACCCCGACTCCCCGAGATCTCCCCCTTCTCTCTCCTCGCGCCGTTTCTCTCTCTACCTCTTTTGATCCGGCAATGGCCACCCCCGCCCCTGCCACCGCCGGCGAGCTCCTACGCGTCGAACCCCTCGAGCTACGTTTCCCCTGTATGCCGCCCCGCTCTCTCCCGGTTTATTCTTTTCTTCTTGGTTTGGAAAAAAACCCGTTTTTTCCCCTTCTTTCTTTCTTTCTGTGGGCGCGGATCGATTGGCTCCTGACCTTGCTGGTGTTTCTCGTGAGCAGTCGAGTTGAAGAAGCAGATCTCGTGCTCCATGCAGCTGTCGAATCACACCGACGACTACATCGCCTTCAAGGTCCGTTTGTTCTTAGCAATAGCAGCCCCCCTCGCCCTCTATTTGGGTGTTCACCCCCCCCCCCCCCACACACACACACACGCACACGTGAAATTATCTCATATTAGAACCCTAGAGATGGATTGAGACCATGCTATTTGGGCTGTTTTGCTACCTGATGGGTTTGTGGTGACATTCCTGCAAGTCTGTTTTACATGAAATTGAAACGTCGAATTTGACCATCCAAGAATTGGAGCCCTCTGGATTGTTCTGTGATGGCGGGCCCTCTATTTGGACGTTTGCTGCATCAAGGAGCGAGTTGCGTGATTAAAAAGACTTTAAATTGTTTGTTCTATTCGTACTTGCATATCTTGCTTGCTCACTTTGGAGCTATTGGAATTGGATTGCTAATATCTTTATATTGAGGTTTGGCGCTTGGAGGGGTCTCTTTGTTTTCCTACGAGACCAAACTATTAAACTGTGGTAAAAATGCCTGCTCAGTGCAAAAAAGAAGTGTTGACCTTTGGTGATTTATTCACCTGTTAGAATTAGCACTGATGTTATTTCTCTTAGAGGTTGCTATGCGTTGTGGTTTGATCTGCCATTGATGATTGGACATACGATGATGTTTTTTCTTGCTATATTCTACAATGGTTAGTGTGACATCTTTTTGCTGTTTAACTGCTTATAGTTTGATCTTGAAAATGTAAACATATGTTCAAGGAGGTCTTATCGTGCCAATATATTTCTCGTTTGGCTGTTTCTTTGATTATCCAGGTGAAAACTACAAGTCCAAAGAAGTATTCAGTGCGGCCCAACACTGGGGTTGTATTGCCACGGTCTACCTGTGATGTTGTTGGTTTGTGACTCTTAGCATTTACCAAAGTGATATGTGTTTGGGCAAGCCATCATCCATTTTGTTGTTTTTATGTATTTATCTGTACTGTTACAGTTACGATGCAAGCACAGCGGGAAACCCCGCCTGACATGCAGTGCAAAGATAAGTTCCTAGTCCAAAGCGTCGTTGCCCCTGCTGGTATAACTGTGAAGGATGTCACAGGGGATATGGTAATATTTCTTTCTTAAACGTTTTTCAGGAATAATCTGATGAAACACTACATACATATAAGGATAAGGGCATCAGTTGTGGGATTATTTTTTTACAGAGACAAAATTGTCTCGTCTTCATAGCACTCTTTATCTAAATTGACTTTAGATTGCAGCTTTATTAAAATCTCTATGGTATTGGTTGTCGTGTGACTTGATAGTTTACGAAGGAGTCTGGGAATAAGATGGAAGAGGTCAAGTTGCGAGTGACCTATGTTGCTCCTCCACAGCCACCCTCTCCAGTTCCAGAGGAATCTGAAGAAGGTTCTCCATCTAGGGCTTCTGAATCAGAAAATGGAGATGGACCTGCTGGAGGATTCACCAGAGTGAGTTATTGTTACCATTGAACTTTGATTTATCCATTTACCATTCTTTTCTCGTTTGGAGGATAATGTATTTCTGAAATCATTTCAGGCGCTGAGAGAGCGCATCGAGCCTCAAGACAAATCTATAGAGGTCAGTTACTGTTCTGATTAGTATAAGATATTAAGATTTCATAATAGAGTTGGCATCTTTTGTACTTTATTTCCTTTACTTTGTACTTTTTTTTGTATATTCTCATATAATTTGGGAGTTTTGGCATTGCAGGCTGGAGCTTTGATTTCCAAGTTGACTGAAGAAAAGAATTCTGCGATTCAACAGAATCATAGACTTAGACAGGAACTTGTAAGTGAAGCATAGCATTTTTATCTTTCTATCATATTAGGGAGCTTATCTAGAATGATCTAACTGTTTGACAATATATCTTTAGTCCCTTTTGTTGTCATCTCATCAACAGTTGTAGAGGTAGTCCTTATAGTTATATCACACGAGATTTCTGTTCAAACATAAATTTTGCTAAGAGAATCAATAAAGAGAATTATGTTGTGGTCAATGCATGTTTTTCTATACCAAAAACACTGTTATTTGTAGATACAGTTTCCCCTTTTGCGATGATTTGAGTGGATTTGAATGTGTTCAGAATACTGAAATCTATTTGATTCCCATACTAATAGATTACAATAATACTCTGTCCATCCATCAATATAAAGAATATTTTAGTATGGGAAAATTCTTTCAATTAGATTTTGACCTCTAATTTCTCTTATGATATGATATATTTTCAAATGCTATAAATCAACAGCATCTCAAAAGTACTTTCAATATGTATCTATTGGTGCAATTTTTGTACACTTAACATGTGTATGATTAGACAAGACTTTTCATTATTCAAAATATATATACCTTGCATTGATGGACGGAGGGGGTACCATATAAGCACCATATGCTGGTTTTCAGTAGAGATGCCTTCTCCTTTCATGCAAATCCACTAGTACAACCAGCGATATGCATGTTCATGAAAAATCAATATGCATTTAGCGTTAACAGTAACCTGTAGACTTCGGGCATGTTTGGTACCTTTGCTCATCACCGTCGTTGCATGTGGTCTTCTGTCTTCAAGCTCTTGCTCTCTAGTTGTTGTGATTGCCTCTCGACGGCAGCCTCAGACTCGACAGAGCAAGCTAGAAAATGCCGGAATCGATTTCCCCACCGCCCAAATCGAGCTCTCTGCTGCCACAGTCAAGGTCTCCACCCAAATTGAGCTCCCCCCCTCCACCCGAGCTCGAGTATGGGCGTGTTTGGTTCACTGCTCCCGCAGTGCATGCACAAGCGTGTGCGTATATTCTGGCAGAGAAGCATGATTGGTTGCCTGCTTCTGCTACAGTGTTTTTGCATGGGTAGAAGCAAATCTATGGTTGGATGTGGGCTCCACGGATGCACTCGTTTTGAGCACCACTGGCCGGCCGGCCAGGCCCGGTGGATGCAGCGGCAGAGTGAGGGGCCCACGTAAGTCTCACATGCTGAGCAGATTGCATCCGCTCATAGCCTCATACAGACAACCAAACATCTTAGTATTTTTTTTTGTATCCGCTCATGCAACCTCACCAAACACATTCTTTTTGAGATCTGCACCCACTTAGCCTGCTTCCCTCCGGCCAGGATACATGATGCGGGTCTACGAAACACCATCCGAACAACCAAACACACCATACACTTCTACCTAATCGAGCTTCACTGCACCGAGCTTGAGCTCTCAGCTGCCAAATCAAATTTCTTCTTGCCGTGCTTGAACTCCCCCCTGACTGAAGTCCCTGCCGTTGTAGCAACCTCACCCTCCTTTTGCTGCTTCACTGAGCAAGGGAACCAAATTCTATGCATCTTGTTTGTGCCAAACCAAAGTAGGAAAGGGTTCAGATTACTACTGAGCAACCCTTTCCTACTTTGGCTTGGCACACTAGAGTCAGAAATGAAGAATGCGCTGGGTGCAGTTAGTCTTCCACATGTGTCCTACAGGTTCTTTATCAGTCTACTTGCAAACTAAGCAACGGCAAAGTTGCTTAGAAACTCCCTTCCCTAGATCCCACTATTTCGGGAAGCTTTCAGCCACTGGGTAGTGAGTACGCACCTTTACACTGCTTCATTCACAAACCGAACAGGCCTTTTAAGGCCAAAATCGACTTTGTAAGATATGAAATTGGGAAACAGGACAGAAACACCACATATTCATTTTTTTTGTTTTTTCTTTGTTCTTTGTTCATTCTTTGTCAATTTTATGTATCACACAAGCGAGGTTGAGTTGGGCCTTGAATTTTTTATATGCCTGTCCATCATCAGCTCACTAAATGTAAGAGTTTTTCTAGTCTTCTAAACATGTTTGATGAAGGATTTTTCACAGTTCGACGACGGGGTGTTTCCATTGATTATACTTATACATATATAAACTTCATTCATATCAAATGCTGACTCGAAATCAGCTTTTTAAAAGCCACGATCCATCCAGATTCTAGAATTAAGTTTCCCAAAAGCCAAAGCGCAAACAAACAGGCCCTTAGTCAACCAGCACCCAAGTGATTTGCATTGGTCCCTGTCTTAAGCAAAGACCTTTGAAAACACAGCTAATCTTCTTTTACTGATTCACGGAGTAATATTTAATATCAAGAGTCGTTCAACTGTTGCCAGTGCCTACACTATGCATTTTCAGGATATAGTTTGTCATTATTTTTTGTATTTTGAAGATCAAAGTTGTTTCCAAATTTCTTCTATTTGCCCGAACTTTGTGTGATTCTGCTTTTTGAGTCTTGAAACATATCCTATATTTGATTAAGATCATGTACCACTTCATATTTTGGCCCACCGTCTACCTACTAAAGCCAAAGAATTGCACCAAGAACTACCCGAAGAACAATTGTTCTCCTTGAGGACAACTACTATTTTTATCATTTATTTAAGCTTGTAGTGCCATCTAGAAATTCTTTGTTTTAATGACCTTCTCGTCAGTTGAGAAACTCAGTATTCATTTGTTTCTGTTTCATGTTGCAGGATTTGGTGAGACAGGTGATCAGCAAGAGGCGTGGAGGGGGCTTCTCCTTTATCATTGTCATAATTGTTGCTTTGATCGGCATCATCCTGGGCTATCTGATGAAGTCATAATTCTTTCAGGCTGTCCTCTGGCCATATCAAAGACAGTCATGCAAGTTGTGTTTGGGAACTCGAAAAAGACTATTCAAACCAGATGTGTTGAAGTTCTCCTGCCTATTTTGTCGATATAGGAGTCCGCGTACGTGAGGAATGCTTAGCCAGCTTAAGCTTTTCTTTTTTTCTTGTTATTTTTCGTTGGATGGGTTGTGCACATTGCTGACACTGTAACTTGGAAAATGCATCAAATGCTTTTGTTCACTGTTTATCTTGCTGACGAAATCTGTTTTTCCCGAGTAATCTGCTGTTCCATTATCTGGAAAGAACAGGTGATTTTACCATGTAAAAGCTTTAAACGAGTCTCGTTGCAATTATCGCCTAAATAAAAGCAATTAAAGTTGATAGCAGTTTGTCTTCTGCAAGGAATTTGTTGGTGCCTGGTTATGTAGCAATTTGTTGTATGGCATTCGCCTCAAACACAATAGGGTGATAGAGATTGGAGTGGCTATATGTTTTTTAAAAACATGCAGAATGTCTATGCAGTTGAGGCACCTGTGTGTCTGCGTTTTTTTGCAAATGAGTGCCTTATAACTGTCGAGTTTCAAAATTTGCTAAACACTGTGAGAAAGAAAAACTGAATTGAAGAAATATGTACGCCAGTGTTTCTTGACTCAACACTTTCCTGGTGCTTCAATTCAAAAATTGTCTGAACCTTCTTCACACTGTTTACACCGTTACACGTACAAAAGAAGGCCAACATTCCAAGTAAATGCAGAGTTGGCCATTCAGGTATAATCTTTGTACAGAAGGGTGGTTCCTCCTCCCTTTGATCTACCCTGATCTAACAACAATCACATACAACTACGTAACTAGCAGCAGTGCAACCAGTACAAGCCAGACCTTATTGCCCAACATATTTACAATACAAGGTGCCTAAAATGTGCCTATTTTTTGGGCTCTAGAGCTTTTGAGGTGTTCTCACCTCTATCTAGTAGACCTGAAAACTAATCTAAGCATACACTTCTGCCTTCTATCGCCTCTATACCTGAACACACAAAAAAAAATCTGAAGAGGCATTTGAGCAAGTCACTCAGCAGCCAAATCTCTTTCCCTTTTCAGTCTTCAGACTGGTATCCATCATGAAAGGTTGTGGGAAGCAGCAACCGGCAAATTCTTAGTAGGCATTCACAGGAACTACTTCATGGCGCAACCAGCTTTGGATTTACACTTCATCTGAGTAGGTACCTTGTGCATCAGTAACGTCCGTGCTTGCATCGGAAGGTGTTTTTCCTTTTAGCTCGGCACATACAAGCTTTGTCAAGAGGAGCCCAGCAAGGAGAGCTGCTGCCATCAACATTGTGAAGACAGCACTCCAGCTCTTCGATGAGATGTATCCTGTTAGCAAGGGTCCAATGGCAGCTCCGACAGACCCTGTCCCATCAATTATTGCTGTCACAGTGGCCAGTGCTCGGGAGTTGCCATTCAAAGAGCTGTGGGTGCCAAGGTCAGCTGACACTGCAGTTGTGATCAGGGCATAAGGCCCATTCACAAACATTCCAGTGATGAACATGAGGGAGATATTCCACATTATCGACATGCTTCCATATGTGCGGTACAGGAAGAGGGCAGGTATCGCACAGTACATGAAGCTAGCAGCTGTGACTGCTCGTGCATTTAAACGATCAGAGATGTGACCGGCAAGCACTCCTCCCAACACACCACCAACATCAAAGATTGTTGATAAGCTGCCAGCCATAGCATCAGAGAGGTACTGACCACCAATACCTGAAACAAGTGAAGGCCTATTAGAAAGCACATTCCTAGGAACAGTTCCAGTTCTAGAAAAAGGGCTACTAATATGTATACTGAACCATCAAATGAGAATGATGTCAGACAGATTTGAAGGTTGAATATGAAGACTTACGTGTATGGCTGATGTAGAACGGTAGCCAATACAGGAAGGTATATGCAACCAATTTGGAGAAGAAGAGGCAAAGAGCAAATGGCGCAACTCCAGGAATCCTCCATGCCTCTAAGAAACCCACAGCCTTATGTTTCACTTCTTGGTCTGGTTCCAAAAGGGGCTCCTTCACAGTGTCCTTCTCACAGTTAAATTCACCACTGTCAATATCTATCTCCATTAGCTCAGGATTAACCGGCAAGAAAATATACACCATCAAGCCAACAAGAGCCATGATAAGGCTGGGGATGGCAAATGACCAACCCCACCCAAACTTCAAGAGGAATGCAGCAAGCAGTGAGCCAGCTATGTTCCCAATAGAAGTGTGTGCATTCCATATGCCCATGATTAACCCCCTCTTGCTCTTCCCAAACCAGTTACCAACAACTGCAACAACTGAAGGCCACCCAATTGATTGAAACAGACCAGAAAGCATCTGAATAACCAAGAAATAGTAGAAGCTGTGGACATTCAGCCAATATCCAGCACCAAAGAGAGTTGTGAATACAGCAGTGCCAATCATGCCAATTGTCAGAAAGATCCTTAAATCCATGCGATCCCCAATATGTCCAGCAAAGAACATCCCAATAGAATATACAGCGAGGAACGCAACATCTATCTCACCAAGTAATGCTGAACCATCAACAGTGTTAAATGGCAACCAGCCAATGTTAAGAGCGTTGCTCTTGCTCATGTGCAGTCGTCCCCAGTGGGAGAATCCCACCTTGGTCTGAGGATCAAGAGCGCTCTTGACGATGCTTGTGATCTTCCGAGTCATATGAAAGCATGTGTATGCAAAAAATGTAAGGACCAGGACTAGTGTCTGGTACGTTCTGAGCGAACTGGCACCTCCAAATAACCGAAGACCAGGAGGTTTCCTACTCGTCATCTCTTGAGAGAGAGGCATGAGAATACAAGATTGCTGAGGAAGATCACAGTGCACCTAGCGCCAGCTCAGGGACACCTTTCTGGAATCAACAACGATTGCTACCTGAAAGCAACAAAGGAAGATGTAATCAGGATAACAGGCGTGCAAGGAGCTTATGAATTCATAGTATGTTATGCAACTCTTAGTTCATAGTATGCAATCATGCTCTAAAAGGTTGGAAAACAGTGATCTCAATGCAGCCTCGTACAGCTGTTTCAGTTACACCACAAAAAAGAGGAAAACTGATGCGCCGAATGATCCAAAGCATCGCAACATACTTCAGGAAACAAATTAATCTGCTTATTTAGTAGTCAAATTCAATGATCACAGGTGCAAGACATTTGTAAATCTAGTTCCTCAGCGACTGTGACCTTGGATCAGAGAGACACAGTGATTAAATTTGCATGTCCCAAAATGCCCCACTGATCAAAATTTCACCAAATTAGCGCCTTTCTTAACTCCTAATATTAGGCTAACTGCGTCTGTAGCAGCCGATAAACTTAACTCCCAATTCCCAACTCTCAAGTAGCATACTTTCTGAAACCTGCACAAGAAGGAAGTTTCCATGTGGACGCAGGTAAAAAGCTGATTTTGACATTTCGACTCCACCGTCCTCGCAAAGATTTCACAAGTCCCGTCACAGGAGCTGGCCCCATCCTATTTCCATCTCAACAGGTATGATCTCATACCTGACATCACCTAATTCAGGGACAGAAAAACACCACCTTGTCCCAAACTCCCATCAATCCTTCTCCCAAGTCATCAAATCCTCCCTCAATTCCAACCCAAAACCCCCTGAAAGGCCTAAACCCATTACAGTAGTACAGAACCACACACCGCCGTGAAAAGCAGTAACATCGAAGAACCAACAAAACAAACAAGCTGCGGATTCAGACCAGAATCGCCGCAGAGATCAAGAACAGGACAAAGCACGGACCTTTTTTTTTTCGGAGCCCGGCCGATCTTCGCCGGATCGGAGGGGCGGCTCCTGCGCCGGGGACGGATTGGGCGCCGCGCAAATGCACACGCGACGCGGCGGAATCACGCAATGGGGAAGGAGCGTGGAAAAGGAGAACCCCCGTGCCCGTGCGCTTCCTTCTCGTTGGTGGTGGTGTTCTCGAGCTCGGTTTGGGTGGTGCGAGTGTGAAGTCACCGAGCGAGGGCATTTATTGGAAACTGCGCCGGGTATTTACGGTGCTGCCCTTGGACGGAACTGCCCTTGCTTTGGTGCTTCTTGTTCTCGGGATGGCTTGTAGACACAAGCCTGTTCGCTGGTTGGTTTTAGCCAGCTCAAACTAACTAGTCAACAGTATTTTTTTCTCATAAAAAATTAGTATTAGTCAGTTCAAATCAGCACTCAGTATCATCCAGCGAACAGGCCCTTTGTTAACACCACACGGCCACGAAAGGAAGCTTTTTCCTAAGCTGGCATCATGCGCTTTGTTCATTTGACTTATAAGTCGTATTTTTTAAGTTAATAAATAGTATTTTTTTCATAATAAATTAACCAACATTATTTTCAGTCATGATTTATCAGCCAAGCGAAGATGGCCATGGTTCACGATGGGTTGATGGAGCATTAGTTATCATCACTGGCGTTTTGCTAAACCAAGGCCATGGCAATTAGGTAAACCGACAAACTATCATACGAAGGTGTAAGTCCTGTTTGTAAGTCCACTTAGGGCAGTACCGATGAAAGAAACTAGTAGTTTCTATAACATAGGATACCGCACCAAAAAAGTACTGCTTTCTAACATATGGTTTCTATGAGTAATACTCCATCCATCCTAAATTGTAAGTTATTCCAAGAATCTTGGAGAGTCAAACTTTTTCAAGTTTGACTAAAATTATAGAGAGAAACACAAAGATTGATGACATCAAATAGGTATAATATGAAAATATAACTAATGAAAAATCTAATGATACTTACTTGGTATGATAAATATTATTATTTTGTTATATAAATTTGATCAAATTTGAAAAACTTTGACTCTCCAACATTCTTGGAATGATTTACAATTTGGGATGGAGGGAGTAATTATTTTCTCTTTCTCTCTTCCAACTCTATCTTCTTCCTCCAATGGGAGTGCGACACGAGCCCCCTAGAAACTGGTGGTTTCTCCCCAATGACGATTTCATGGTTTCTTGGTGCATTGGGTCAAGAGAAGACCTGGTTTCTTCTGGAGGAAACCATTTCTATGATTTTTGCTCTCTTTCTTCATTAACTACGTTGCCATGTTAGCATTTTGCCTACGTGGCAAGTCATTTAATGATGATAGAAACCATCATCAATACACCATTGAGATGGCCTTATGAGATCTCGCGTCCAATGTCTCTAAGCCACGTTGGAAGAAGCTGATTGTCTTGATTTTCCATGTGCTGTCCAATGTTGTCATGCCTTATCAAACTCTATAACTTAGATTAAGATTATAAAAAAAATTACGCAAGTATCTACAACATCTAGCTAAATTAATTAGATACATAATAAAATATACTTTCATAGATATTTATTTGATATTATATAGACATTACTGTATTATGTTATAAACTTTGTTAAAATTAGATAAATTTAATTTAGAACAAAAGCTAAAACAACTAACGATTGTGCATAGAAAGAAACCAATCGAAAGATAAACCCTGTGATCTGTTGTAGTTTACGAACATGCCATAATAAGCATAAAAGGTTAAAAGAAGGATTGGATAAAGCATACCTCCAGCAATCACGGAGAGGAGGAGAGTTAAAAACACACTTCGATCCCAAACGCTGTGTTGTGCGCACCAGAGCGCAGGATCGCAGGGGAGGGCAGCGCCAGTATAAAGGGCGACAAGGCAGGGGTAGAATCGGAAATAGGGAGGAGGATCGAAATTCATGGGCGACCCGATGGGGCGGCGAAGCTCTCCGAATATTCCCTTCCCGCCACTGGAATCATCCCTCGCGTGCCGCGCTGGTCTTCCGCTTGCCCGTTGCCCCCGACCGCCGCGTCACGCGTGCCCGTCCGTCCCCACGCGCGCGGCCACAGGCCACAGCACGGGCCACACGGGAGCCGAGCCGCAGCCCACACGGACCACACCGCGCAAAGCCAGCCGACTCGGCTCCGCTGCGCCTGCGCCGCTGTTCTCTTCGCGCGCTTCCCGTTTCCGCGGCCGCGACGCCGGGAGCTGGGCCCCTCGTCGTCTGTCCACGTCAATGGTCGTGGGCCCCGCTTCGAACTGCTGCGGCGGCGTTGCGACGCCCCTCACAGCCCACAGGCCACAAGTTTGAGGGATCTTCAGGGCCGCCGGGTATATTCTGGGAATAATCCGTGCGAGATGCGTTCAACCACAATTCAAAATCAATACGTCATTGGCTCCATAGCCCATGCTTTCAAGTTAACTATTGTATATATATTTAAAAAATCTATTTGTACCATTCGTCATGGTATACTACTTCTCCCGCCTCTGATACGGGCGTGTTTTGTTGCCTCGAGGGGATTGCATTGGAGAGTCAATGGACTCAGGATCCATAAAATTTAATTCCGCACGCCGCAACTCGCCACGCCGAAAGCTCAGCGGCTTTGGCCGCTGTTTGGTTGATGTGTAACCATTGGCTGCAACAGCCGTCATTTTGTTCCCACTGCTTGTTGTTTTCTTTGTGGGGAAGTGTAGCGTGTGGTGGCCATTTCTTATATCACAGCCGCGACGCCCCCGAACCTACGACGTGGCAAGATGGCAGGCCGTTCGGCTCGTCTATAACTTGGCTTGTTCGGGTTTTTTTTAAGCTGAAATCGTGTTTTTCTCTCATAATATTTCAACCAGAACAACGTTTTTCAGCCAATTCCAGTTAAAATTTCAGACCAGCGAACGGGGCCTAAAAGTTTTAGGTACTAGTACTGGCAAATAGTGTAAAAGGGACACTCAAATTTTCTCTATACTATGGTTCTTGGTCAAAAAATTTTTTTGAGACATTTTAAAAACCTAAATTTCCTAGTGGAATGTCAAACTTGATGCGAATTTGGTGTCTGGCGGTCGTAAGCAAATCTGTACTCCTTGTCCTAAGATAAATTGAACTCAGATTTATAAGGGCACTTACAATGTAGAAACTATCATAGTTTCTATGTGCATTAATTATCTTGCCACCTAAGCATTTTGTTAATGTGGCAAGCGATTTATTGAGAGAGATGAGGAAATTGTTTTTTAATAAGAAACCATGTCTACATGAGAACTAAGATATAAAGAGATATGATAAGTAGACGAGGGAGAAAGAAGACGTGCGATTGGACAAAAGATTATTCCGTTGAAACCATCGATTGAAAAGTTTATATCGATTGGAAATTTGGTTGGTGTAGTCTTTGGTTTTATATATATGAGAGAGGAAAAGTGTGGTTGGTTGGTTGTATAAAAAACTAACAACATGATAGTTTTTATATAAAACTATACATGATTTTTAGCATTGGGGGTGCCCTAAGATGGATCAGCAGTCTTGACTCTTGATAAATGATCAATGTACGTGTGCATCTTCATAAAGAAATAAAGAAAACCGCGCAATTAAATGCGTTGACAATTGATCAACCACTTTTAGCTAGTCCAGACCAGAAGCTACAACTCCTTAGCAAGTTGTTGTAAATGGTACTCCCTCCATACCGGTAATTAAGGTTGTTTTGGACAGCATTTAGCATACCAAAAAGTAATTAATTAGGGTGGATTTTTCCATGTTTACCCTTATTAAATAGGGTTTGATATCTTTCATGCAACAACCGTTTCGCAGCTTTAGTGGCTAGCACACCCCGTTTCGATGCAGGAGGTCATGGTTCGGTCCCTTGCTGGTACTGTATTTTTGCCTGATGTGTGACTTTTTTTTGATAGGGCTTGACGCATGAGTTTGCATGGCTCTGTGCCGAGTTGCAGGGCACTGCGCTCGTTTGGGTGCTCCATCTTTGCACCTTCTTTCTTTTTCATATGTGCGTTTCATAGATCGAACAAATAGTACCAATGTGTTCCTA